CTCCTTTTATTTATTTTAAGCATTGCTTTGAGTGTGAGGTTGGTCAAAGTAGTGCTGGTGGTGGAAGAGCAAAGAACTTAAGCCTCTCCACATGAAATGTTGCTTCATTTTCCAGCTACTTCCTACTCAAGGAAATATTGTTTGCAGATGGTGCAGTTACAAAACAGTCATAAACCACCCCATTATTATCCAGATGGATTTATTACTGCAGAGAAATCTTTGCTATCTCATTTTGGGAATGAGGTTTGCTCTCCCCACTGACATATGGAATGATTCTGCTCAAAATCCATCCAGTGGCAAGATGTAAATACTCAACATCTGTAACCCTGACAGATGGGTTTGCTGTTGTTTTCTTTAAATCCCAACTTGGGCTAGGCAAGGTGGACAGAAATGCCTGGTCAGATATGGAGAGACTTCATTCCTTTCAGGAAAAGCAGTTGCCGTGGCAGAGAGCAGCTTTGGTGTGAGGTATGTCACCTCTGTCCCATCACACCTCTGGGAGATGGAATTTCAGAAGGAAGGGAAGGTGAGTTGCTGCAGATCCCTGCCTGTGGCTTCTTTGCTCACCTGCTGGCATGAGTTGGTTCATCTGCTGCCTAGAGCAGCTGATGGAGGAAAATCCCAGAGGTAACTGAGGAATTTGGAAGAAATAATAGAGGATATGGATGTAATACCATGAGACAGACCAGAGCTACCTGGAAATCCTGGGAAAGAGCCCCTCCATCTCATAGTGTGGCCGTGCCTGAATGATGCCAGCACCTGGCTGTGGCTTCCCTTGAGGCCATCTCTGAAGACACTCATTTCTGGGCTCCCATCAGCCTGCTTCAAAAGCTGGGCTGGGTCCAAAACGTGACTCTATATTGAAGCCAGCTGGGTCATGTCTCACAGGTGAGATGAATTTCTTCCTGGCCACTGTAGTGGAGGAAACCAAAATTATCCCAGAGAACATTGACTCCAAAAGGGCAATCCACTTCTTTCCACCCAGAGCAGGGGTCAGGCAAGCAGCAGTAATACAGGATTAGAGCTCCAGGCTGGGTCCTGTGTCTCCAGCAGGTTATTTCTAAACCTCCCAGGTCTTCCTGCCCTGGTTATGCTCTCATACATTTCCAAACTTTCTCAGCTGGCAGCAGAGCATTTGAAACAGCATCCATGGAAATTATGGTCTTGCTTTGCTGCCCACACTTGGATGACAGCTGGCTCTGGCTGGAGCTTACCCATTGCTCTTTAAGTCTAGTGGCCTGCATTTAACCATATCTCGCTTATCAAAATTAGGTGAAACATAACTCTTTCCACAAACAGTCATTGGTTTTGTCAAGACCTGCTCAGCGATTTCATCTTTTCCTTTAATTCAGCTTTTCAATTAATTTTTTTTTTTTTTTTTAGAGAATACTGCCTGGTTATTTATGTGTGCACAGACCATATTTGTGTGGGTTTGGTGCTGATCAGCTGCGTGTGTGTTTACAATAGCCCTTGTGTTATCCCAGCCGGCAGCCTGAAAACACTTCCAAATTATTCCACATCAGAAGCGAAGAGGGTTTGGATAGACTCCTAGGGGAAAGTCTTGAAATGGTGCCCAAACCTCAGTCCCAGTGCTGTAAGTCAGGCACGTGGCTGATATTTTATCCACCCCAGCTTGGACTTTGACAGGCTGTTTTGTTTGTGGAGGAAACGGGAACTTGGGAGCAATTTTAATCAGAGATTTCTTGGAGATGGGCTTCCTCCTTTCCTTCATCCTGTTCTGCCCTCTCTTGACACAAGTGCCTGCACTCTGCCCGTGTTCTCTAAGAAATGATGGAAAATAAGGGCACAGAAGCCCGAGGGCCGGGCTGGACTGAAACAAACCCCTGGGTGGAGGGGGCCTGACCTGGCTCGTGCCTTTGGAGAGGTGCTGGGTTTGTGTACGAAACACTCGGGTGACTGTACGTGGATGAGCACCAGGAGTTTAGGGGCACTAGGGTTTGGTGTTTGCTGCTAACCTCAAAGCAGGCTGGGAAGTTCAGACCTAAATGGTGCTGTAATAAAAACCTGGAAATAGTCCAGAAAATCCTAAACCAGTTTGGGTTTGAAGGGACCTTAAAGACCATCTCTTTCCAACCCCCTGCCAAGGGCAGGAACCACCTTCCACTAGACCAGGTTGCTCAGTGTGGAAAAAAAAGGAGTACTGTCTCAAAACCAAACTCCTACAATGTGAGTTCAGTTCTAGAATTCTTTGCTTTTTAGCTGAACTAAATATGACATTGTTTTCCAAATATATTGGCATTACTGTGGCTTGGAAACTCAATAACTGAGCCAGCTCTGGTCTTGGACCTTGAGTTACTCATATAATAGTACACTTTACTATTGGAGTAAAGATCACTTTTTAAAAATGTAATTTAAAACTGGCATGCACATTGATTTAGGAATGCAAAATAATTTTGTTATTATCTCATCTCAAAACCTTTTCCTTGATCATCTGCAACTCTGAATTGCAAAATGTATTACAGAAACACAGCTGTTGTGTCTTATAATGTGAGGTAAGACATTCCATGGCGGTTGTTTGTCTCAAAACAAATTTACAAATCCAGAGCAATGTAGCTGCCCCATTCCTGGAAGTGTCCAAGGCCAGGTTGGACGGGACTTGGAGCAACCTGGGCTATTGGAAGGTGTCCCTGCCCGTGGTAGGGGGTGGCACTGGATGGGCTTTAAGGTCCCTTCCAACCCAAACCAGTCTGGGATTCTGTGACAAGAGATGTCTCTCTCTCACAGAGTTTGGTAACTCCTTGAGTTGAACACCTTACAGAGGTTATGCTCTGAGACTGAGAGAAGGACCTAAACTTCTTCTCCTTAAGGTGGTGCAGCAGTTCAGAGATCAAAAATGCATGATGGTGATCCAAATCTTTGACTCCAGGATTTGGAGCTTTCAGCTTTCAGCTTCAGAGCTTTCCTCTGCAACTTTATAAGAGAAATTCAGGGATCTGGTAACACTGAGTGACCTTACAGAGAAGAGCAATAATCGCTCTGGAACCTGGGCCACTCCATTCCCTCATTAGGACAAGGAAGCTTTTATCTCTCCTGCAGTAATGATGCATTTTTAAAGCGTTTCACACCTACTTTCAATCTCAGTAAAGACCATGAAACTTCTTTGGCTGTGGCCACATGGTATCTGTTGTTAAACAGACTGTTAAAATTAATCAACCCAGGTTAAGCAGCCAAAATTACTACTTGCCATCTCTGGCCCGAGTCTGCTCCCTCAGAGACAGCCCCATAAGAGGCTGAACGCTGATTAAACGCTTCTCTGCCAAGTGCAGTCCGAAACATTTTGGCAAGAACTGCCTGTACAAAGCACAGAAAAAAATGTACAGGATGTAAAAGGCTCAGTGTGTCAGCCTGCTTGAATCCAAACCATCCCCTGCCACAAACCCCTGCGTTAGCAAACATCCCATCTGCCTGATGAGAGCTTCTGTACCCTGGCCCCAAATTTCCGTGCTCCATCCCCAGGGTTGTTATGTCATGAGTTCATTATTGCTGCTGGCTGTAATTCACACTCCAATCCACAGTGCTATCAGCAAAAGACATTTTTTAAAAAAAGTAAAAATTAGTAATAGCCTTGATTTTCCTCAGAGTACAGACTGGAAGCTTAAACTCTTCTTTGGAGGAAGTCCTGCTGCATCCAGGGCAGGAAGGAAACTCAGTCCACATGCCCTCACATGCACTTGTTGGCAGTGAAGGGCAGAAGGACGAGGAGCTTGTGAACACTGGGCTACTTAAACAGAAGCATCTGGACCACTTCTAGAAGATCTGTTTGACCCCTGGGCAGGCTGGATCCTTGAGTCAAAGGGTGCTGCCTTGTGCCAGCTGAGTGTGAGGAGGTTTAGATTGGATATTAGGGAAAATTTCTTCAGGGAAAGGGTGTTCAGGCATTGGCACAGGCTGCCCAGGGCAGTGGTGGAGTCACTGTCCCTGGAAGTGTTGAAAAAGTGTGTGGGTGTGGCAGTTGAGAACATGGTGGTGGTGCTGGGTTGATGTTGGACCTGATGATCACAAAGGTCTTTCCCAGCCTTAACAATTCCATGATTCTATGCACAGTCTCTTTCCTTCTCTCCTTTCTCCTCATCTTCCCTCTCCCCCTCTCTGAAAACACGTCAGCAAGTCTGAAGGCAGCAGTCATGCTCATCCACAGTGATGGAATTTAATCTCCTGGTAATTAGGGATGGAAAATCACAACATTGGCAACGTTTTCACTTGAACAGAAGGGCATTCCTGCCAAGACTTGGTTTGTCTTGGAGTAAGAAAAGTGCAATCAGGATCATAGGATGCTGAGCTGGGAATCTGGGGGGCCAGATCCCATGGTTGGAGAAGGTGGTTACAGTGCCACTGACTTCAGCAGAGCTCTGGTTAGTGTCAGCTGGGATCCTGAGGAGCTCTGCTGGGCAGAGACTTGCCTTTCAAAACACAGCAGATGATGTCTAAAACCTGTTTAATATCATGTACAGTTCCCCTGCGCTGGCTCTGGGTAGTCTGGCCCCTCAGCCCAAATGATGTCTGGTGTCAGCAGTTGCTTTTGACTGTTTTGTGGTTTTCTTAAAGGCAAATAACTTCCATGCAGGGCTAATGGAGGAGCTCCCATCTCAGCTGCTGGATGTGTGCCGAAGAAATAGAGTGAAACACGGAAGTGGTCACAGACTATAGACCTGCACCTATACAAGACTTGGAATTTTGCATCTGTAATGATTTTCTTCTTTTTTTCCAAAGAATCACAGAATCAGCTGGGTTGGAAAAGACCTCTGAGATCATCAAGTCCAACCCTTGATCCAACCCCCCGTGGTTCCCAGCCCATGGCACTGATGCCACATCCAGTCTCACCTTAAACACCTCCAGGGACGGTGACTCCACCCCTCCCTGGGCAGCCCATTCCAAGGTCTGATCGCTCTCTCCATAAAAAATTTCTTCCTGATATCCAACCTAAACTTCCCCTGCAGAGCTTAAGACTGAGCCCTCTTGTCCTTTTTTTTCCCCCACAGTAAGAACTTGTCCAGAGGCTGGACTGAGAGGGCTGTGAAGCCACCAGCCCTGGCTGCTCCTGCCACCAGCTCTGCCCGGCCCCAGCGCTCTCACCAGCTCACCCAGCAGAGGGGATCGAAGGGACCCAACGCCAAAACCCAGGAGAGTTCTTCACTGGGACCTGCCCTGGAGTAATTTATGTGGGTAGGTGATGATTTGTGCTGCAAACACTGCATTGGAATAGGGCCCGCGAGCGATGGTGCCCCTGGGGCGCTGTGGCTGGAGAGGTGCAGGGCTTGCTCTGCTTTAGGCTGGGTCCCCTTGTTTAGCTGCATCTGGGCAACTTGTGGGCCAGTTTTGCAATTTGGAGTTGCACCTGACCTGAGAACTTATCTGTTTGCCTGGGTTTGTCTGTCAGCTCCAGTAACCACTGGGAAGGGCGCTGCAGATGTGCAGCAACCCTCTGGCTCTCCAAGGGGAGTCTCCATCCTTTGAATGGAATTCTTTGGCTTGGAAAACTAATTTGAAAAATCCATTCGAGTGCATTGTGTGGAGTCATCCTAAATAAAATGGGGCTGGCTTGGCGTGAAGGTGAGAGATGAGTTTCACATGGGGCTTTGCCTCCTTTCCACTGCTCTGGTGTTGCTGTCCTGGCCGTGAAGCTGCTGTGGTTGTGGGGGAAAGGCTTTAAGGAAAAGTGAGGGAAAAAAACAGGGGGGAAAAAAAGGAAAAGGATGGAAGCTGTTCTTCTGTACGTGTCACCTGGTAGAAGAGCGTGGAAAACCCTTCCCCTGACAGCCAGTATGGACCCCACTTTCAGAAAAATATCTCTCTCTTCAGCAAATTTGGACAAGGGCCTGGAGTGACAGGATAAGGAGGAATGGCTTTCCACTGCCAGGGGGCAGGATTAGATGGGATATTGGGAAGAAATCCTTCCCTGTGAGGGTAGGGAGGCCCTGGCACAGGTTGCCCAGAGAAGCTGTGGCTACCCCATCTCTCGAAGTGTCCAAGGCCAGGTTGGACGGGGCTTGGAGCAACCTGGGCTAGTGGAAGGTGTCCCTGCCCATGGCAGGGTTTTGGAACAAGATAAGCTTTAAGTTCCCTTCCAACCCAGGCTGTTCGGGGATTCTAAACTCCCTGAGAGCCTATTCTAACTTTTTGTCTGATCTGTTTGATCTCAGGACATCTGAAGGCTCAGTTTTTCCCTACCATCATCTTTTGGCAGGAAAAAGCAGTGTTGGAGCCCAAGGAGACCTCTCTGTGGTGGGGCCATCCAGCAGGTCCCTGCAGCTGGAGCCAGGGCAGCATTTGGTTCTCTGACCACTTGGCATTGCCCTCCCCAAACCCAGGGCTCATTGTTGGCTGTGCAGGGGGACTGGGGGACTCCCAGAGCCCGCATGCCAACCCAGAGGGCCTGGCCAGCAATTCCTGGCAGTCTCCAAGGCTGATTTCCATTTCTTTTGGTCCCACCAGCCCACCTTAACGAGCAGTTCTGCCTCGCCTTTGATTTCTTTCCAGGATGCCCGATTTTGGGAGGTTGCAAAGAGACAGAAAGTCTGTAAAGTTTACTAAAGAGGAAAACATTGAATAAAAACCCAAACCAGTGCATTTTCTTTGGTGCTCTGGAAATGCTCCCAGTGTTCCCTGGTGAGAACAAGTGAGGGTGGGTTCACAAACCCTGTGGCACCTGATGCCATGTTCCCTTCTAACTCCTGATTTTACTAACACAACTTCAGTCCAGGCTGAATATCCCAGCAGAGCTATTGCCTTATAAATAGAGAGGTAATTCATATGTTCCAGCTCTCTGCAGCTGAATTTAGGGAATTATTGAGCAGAGGCTCTGCTCTGCAGTCCCACGGCACGGCTGTGACCCACACTTGGGTAACTCCCAAAGGAGGAAGAGGTAAATAGAGACAGAACAGGTGCTTGGTAACAGATATCCTGATTTTCCAGATAAATGCCAGTCCTCACTTTGTCTTCCAAGTTCTGTCTCACTATTTTATGTACTTCAGAGCTCACTTTGCTGGTTGCATGTCATTACATCTATTTTATGGTGTTGTTTTTATCTGTTAAAAATAGGGGGTTTTAAAAGCAAATTTTCCTTTGCTCAACTTCACCTTATAAAAGAACTTGTTGCCAAGTGTTTGAAACTTTGTGTCAATCACCAGTATTTTCTACATATGAAATGGAGAATAATTTGAATTCAAATGTGGCTTCAAAACTTAGAGTTTTGGGTTTTTCCGCCAGGGTTTGAAATAGATATAATTTTAAGACTCTCTTTTGTATGTATCAACGTCAAAATTAATTTTAACTACAGTTATTTTTTTCTTTAAGTAGAAAGTTGAAATTATTGATAATGAGACTTTTGGACAACTTGACTTGAAAAGCCGATGCTTTGAAAGCTGTGAAATAATTGAGAAATGCTGTCAATTTTTTTTCAGATGCTTAGTTAAAAAATAATCGTGATTCTGGAAGGAGCTTATTTATCCGTACTTCACATCATTTTTTTCCACTAGAGCATTGTATTGCCAGTGGTGATGGAAACCCATCCCAGAGCTCTTTTCCTGGACCTTGTTCCATACAGGACTTGCTTCTGGAAGTGCTGTCACATGTAAGCAAAGCCCATGGCTCTTATAACTCACTTGGCATGAGCCAGCCTTGCATTTCCTAAGCAGGCTTATCCCATACTAGTTTCAAAGCTGAAAGGCAAACAAAGAGGATTAGACCAAACTAGTTCCAGAGCACATGTTGTACATACTAATGTCTTGTTGAAACAGGAGAAGGCTGAAAAAAAGACTGCCCCTGCTTTAATGAGGATGCAGGCTTGCTTCCTGAATCCCTGCCTGCTGTGCCAATCAGATAGAGGGGATTCTGCATCACTAAAGGAGCCAAGCTAATGAGATTAGGGTTTATCACTTCAAAAAATAAAACTGTACCACTGGAAGAATAAGATTTTACAGGAATTGTGCTAAAGCCTCAGTATGGTGGCTGGGCTCTCCTCCTGAGGTCGTTTAGGGGAAAGCACTGAGCCTTGCAACTGTTTCCACATAGATGGCTCTGCATCTCCACGCAAAAAAAGCCTTGAGGCACTTTATTTCCTGAGTTTCATCTCAGCTAAGCAGTAGCCTGAGCAAAGTTGGTCACATTTCAAATGTGCCATGTCAAAGCTCTGGTTTTGACCCAGCTGCCTTCGCTGTGCCTGCTGTGTGACAGGAAACGGACAATCCTTGGGATTGTCCCCTAATGCTGCCACCTCAGTGTGCTGCCAGACGTGGGGCAGCAGGAACAGGCCTGCTGCAAGCAGAGGAGAAAACCTCTGGAGCAGCAGAGGGAAGAAAACCTTCCCAGTGTTCATCTTTCAGAGGAAAACCTCTCCAGAAGTGCTCCTGACTGAGGAGCTGTAAGAGCAGCTGTGGCATCCCCACCTCTGTACCTCTGTCATCTCCCACCCTCCAGGCAGGGGCTGCCCCACTGTGTGGCAGCAGCACTGGGACCCCGGGCTGGTTTAAGGGATAGGAAGTGCTTTTCCAGCTTTGTGTCTGTTTTCTGGTGGGTTTTAAAAGTAGTTTTACAGTGGTGGCACTTCTATCTTTGTCCCTTGTAAAATCCCTTGCTATACAGAGCAAACAGTGCTGCTGGAGAGAAAGAGGTATCCTGGAATCATGGAATATCCTGAACTAGAAGGGACCCACAGGGACCATCAAGTCCAACTCCTGGCCCTGCCCAGGACACCCCAACACTCTCACCCTGTCCCTGAGGGTGTTGTCCAAATGCTCCTGGAGCTCTGGCAGCCTTGGGGCCGTGGCCAAACCCTGGGGAGCCTGGTCAGTGCCAACCACCCTCTGGGGGAAGAACCTGATATCCAGCCTAAATCCCCCCTGACCCAGCTCCAGGCATTCCCTCGGGTCCTGTCACTGCTCACAGAGAGCAGAGGTCAGTGCTGCTCCTCGTGAGGTAGCAGAGGGGCTGCCTCAGCAGCCCTGAAACTCCTGTCCCAGTGGGGAACAGCACGTGTCAGCCTGAGGAGCCTCCATGCTGGGCTTCATGTGGGAGGATATAGCCTTCTGGGCTTGGTTTCCCTGTTGGCAGGCTAAAGGTCTGGCTTATGGGTTGGGGTTACAGCAGGAAGCTGAACTTAACCTTTTGCACCTTTCAGCCCTTCTCTCCCTTGTTATGCTTTTCACCAGCAGGAAAAACATTTGCAAGAGGGCATCGGGCAAAAGGTGGATTGTCTGAGCTCTGACTCAGGCCATGGTAACTGGGCTGGCTCTCAGGACCACCAAAGTCAGGAGTCCCACCCTCTCCCCTGGCTCTGCTGCGCTGGCTCCTCGCTGGGCCTCAAGGACATGTGGGTTGCAGTGAAGTTCCTGACATTTATGGACTTTTGACTCAGTTAGTTTTGGAAAAAGTCAGCTATGCCTTGGCATCCTGCCTAATCACTGCTCCTGGAGCATGGGTAATTCACTCTCTTTGGGGAATTCAGGGGCTTCCCCCTCATCCAATTTTTCCCTGCAGAGCTAATGGTGGTGCCAGTTTTCCATTAGGAAGCCAATAGTAATCCCCCCTTCTTGCTTTGTCCAAACAAACATGGTGTGCCACATTCCTCCTGTCTGCTGTTCTGGTGGAGAAGTCCCAGGAAAGCCGAAGTGTGACGTGAAAAGAAGCAAGACAGGAGAGAGGGGAAAGGCTGGAGGGTCTTGTGCTTGGGGAAGAGCACGATGGTTCTGGGGCAAATACCTTGTGGTGTCAGTCCTGCTGCTCCCTAGGGTGGCACTTTGAGTGCAAATGCTCTAGAGAAGCCCTTGGAAATTCCTTTTGGAGTTCAGCATTACTTCAAATAATTTTATTTAATTTGCAGTGTGCTAAGCTGAGCCATGAAGCCCCAGGAGTCAGCTTCCTCTTGGGGGACTACCCTGGTCTCCCCACCCCTAGGGCACAACTAGTGTTTAAAATCCCAGAATTTTAAATATGAATGTGTGGAGGTTCTTCCTTTTCAGTTCACAGATTTTAAAGAGGCAGTTTCAGAAGACTTATTCCGTCCTTCTTTAACATAGGAAACCAGGCTTTTCACCCACAACACAGGAACAGAAGGTTTTAAGGC